TTTATAATGTTTTTTGTCACTTCAGTAGAAAATGAAACCAAATATTAGTTTATTTAGATTATTTATTTCTTCATCATCAGTGACTTTTTTTTCAAGTTTAAATCTGAATGTAACTGTTAAATCTAAATCTCAGTATTGAAGTATTTCAGAATGTAACACAGCTTTTGCTGTTGTTTCTGGGCTCCATATAAGAAGTCATAATCCTGCGACAATAGCAATGCTAACACTTAAATACAGCTAACGCTTCCCTAAGAAACCTCAAACTTTCAGTTACGGATGGTTGTCGGAGAGCTACACTTCAAATGCATACTGCTGGACCAAAGGTACTATCCATATTGTTTGCAATGAACACATTATAAATTTAGATCTTCAGCAGCGTTCGAAGCATTAGCAGCGGTTAGTGTTAGCTAACCAGGATGATGTCATCATCCTGCAACAAACATCAACACATGTCAAAACTATATGGATGCTACATTTGGTCCGTCAGTTTAAAGTGCAGCTCAGAAAACTGCCTGTAACTGAAAGTTTGTTTTGTAGGGAAGCTTTACACAAAACATTAACTTTAGCGTTCAAGCGTTAACGGTTGCTTTTGYTGCAGGATGATGACATATGAGCCCATCACCAACAGCAAAGGCTGTATTTCATTACCAAATACTTAAATGTATTTTTCAGCATTTAAGATTTAACTTTTAGGTTTAGATTTACACATTTAGATTTAGGATTTAATATTTACATATATTTTTTAACATTTAAATTTAACATTTCGCAAAAACTGGCAAGAACAGTGAGCTAAATGATAATTGAATGTTAGAAAACTTTTACACTCAGAAAATGAGCTAAATAATGAAAATGTGTTTGTGACATACTTTAACATTTTATTTTACACTCGGCTCCCCATACACAGTCCCTCTTTAACTGCTTGTGGTTCAAACATTGTACTATTTCCCTACATGGTTCTAAGTTTGCCTTTTCACCTCCAAAACCTTCTAACAATGCTTATTGATTTTCCTTTTTTTCTAAAATATGTGCACATGATTGACATCTCAGGCACACATGACCAGTCACAAGCCCGCTGCTGACCCCGACAAATCTGTGTCCCTTCATTATGACAGACAAAGATTTGGCCAGGTTATGCTTCAGAGCACAGATACCAAAAAGCAGCATCTGGGCCTCAGTTACTTATATGTGTCAGTAGGCTTGTTCTTGTCTTCATCGTCCTGTTTTATTAAGTCTGAACTGGAGAGCTCAGGCGCTAAACTTGGATTCATTTGCATATTATTCTTATCTAGATGTGCAGCGTCATCGGAGACAGCTGATCCATCCCAAATTCATTYTGAAAAGCGACAAAACAAAAAGAGAAGCAGAAGCCACATAAGAGAGTTCTGATCTTAGCWATACGGAGTCGAGCTGGGACTTGAAGAACAACTTTTTTTTTTCTACTGAGTTCACAAAGAGGCTTAGAACAACATTTCTAAGTAGCTCAAGAAATCCTGCGTGAAGTGAACCTTAAAGAACTGTTTTTTTTTTTTAAATTTAAGTGTGGGTGGTCAATGCAAAGTTACACACCTAACTAATGATGGCATATTAACCACGTTTACTTTCAGCAAACACTTTGAGTTAAAAACAAAATGATTTGTTTTTATTCTTAAATCTGACTGAAAATGGATGGTTTTTGGGTTTTAGAGTGCAGAACAAACAAAGCGGGCTGCTCTTATTTACTCCCCGTCTCACCTCCTTTCACCACCTCAGCTGAAAAGTTCAAAGTCAAACTCAGCCACGTTAACTACGAGCTGGTGATGAGTCCCTTCTCCGCCTCGTTTGCATGAATCTGTTCCGAATCAGGCAGAACTTCTCCTGACTCTCTCGGTATTTTCACATTTATTTTGTCAGGCCAGCTTCTGTGGTCTCCTTGGATATCAAACTAATGGAGCAGACTCGTAATCAAAGGGGGTCTCCCTCTACAGTGGAGTCTCAGTTAATATTTAGATAGCCACGGGCAACCATGAGGCTTAGAGTTTTGGCCTCACTCCTGTGGTATTTCCATGGAGCTCCCCAGTCTCTGCTCTGCGAGGTGGAAGCAGGCGCACGGCTTATTTAAGCAACAGGGACAACATTTTTGATAAGGTTTTAAAGCACTGTTTATTTCTCAGTATTCATCTCAGTTTTGTAAAAGTAAGGCTTGTGATTTAAATTACTGTATGGATTTGAGACATTTTCTTAAAAGCAAAAAGGAATTAGTTTGTCAAGCTTTCTGTGAAATTCTGTGGAAAGGTTATGAACAAATAATGCAGAACCCATTGTTGAAAGCTCTTTGAACGATCTCAGTTTGAAGAAAMAGTTTATTTCTGACTGGTCTGACAAGCTAACTGCTAGTCTGAGCAAGTCCAAGTCTTAAAACAACCTTATCCTCATTGTGGTTCATGCAAACTCTAATTTATGACTTTTTACATCACTGACAGGTTTGCATTACACATTTATTCTATGGTTATTTGTGGGGCTGGCTGTCGTAAACAACAACAATTCCATTTGATTTCAGTTCTTTGGGTCACAATTCAACACATCATGCTTTTATTTATTTTTTTATTCCTTCAGTTGGGGGCTTCGAAAAGTAGAACTGTAATGCTTTGGTCTAAATTCCTCTGTGTTGTAACTCCACAAAACCCCCTTTCACCCCTTTTCTGATATGTGTCTCAGATCAACCCATTTAACC